TCTTTAAAATCGTAATTGTCCAGCGTGCGCAGGAAAATCGAGATTTTATTTTTTGGCATCTCGCCCAGTCTTAATATTTGGTCATTTTTGATACTAGATAGTGAAAAAAGGCCATGTACAAATCCCAGTAATTTTTGCTTTTCCATCCATCCATTTTCTTCCGCTTGTCTGGGGTCAGCAGTCTAAGCAGAGACTCCCAGACTTCCTTCACCCCCGGACAATTCCTGAGGCGTTCCCAGGCCAGCTGAGAGACATAGTCCCTCCAGTGTGTCCTGGGTTCCCCGAGAGAGGCATCCAGAACAAATGCCCTTCCCTCAGCTGGTTCCTCTCGATGTGGAGGAGCAGCGGCTTTACTCCAAGCTCCTCCCGTGTGACTGAGCTCATCACCCTATCTCTAAGGGAGCGCCCAGCCACCCTGCGGAGGAAATTCATTTCGGCCGCTTGTATCCGCGATCTTGTTCTTTCGGTCATTACCCAAAACTCATGACCATAAGTGAGGGGAGGAACGTAGACTGACCGGTAAATCGAGAGCTTTGCCTTTCGACTCAGCTCCCGCTTCACCACAACGATCCGATACAGCGACCGTATCACTGACCCCGAGAACTGAGTTGAGTTCTCGGGGTCTTGTTCACAAATTTTTGCTTTTATACTGTTCCTATTATGTTCTGTATACCTTGGTTTTGTTTAAAAAAAAAAAAAAAAAACATGTACTATTTTTTACCTACCTTAATTTTATGTTAGCTCTTTATTATATTTGGTCAACCCCAGCTTGAACTGATCTAAGTGGGTGTTCTGAGAATGTTCTGACAAAGTAAGATGATTTTTTTCTTTTTAATATTAGCCTTTTATTTAAAAAAAAAAATTCTACAGTTGAAAACTTTGTTTTTTTCATAAATAGCTCAAGCTTTTACTTATCCAACTTGAACAAATCCAACTGAACTATTGAACTCCAAGCCCTTGTACTGAATAGAAAAGGGGTTAAAAGTGCAGTGTTTATCAGTAGATAACAGATGTAAGACCTGTCCCTCCCCTCACCCGTTCTTGGTTCAGACTCACCTGTGTTCTCTGGTCTTCTTCTGTTAGGTCAGAACTAGTACACAATCGGACTGCAGTAACATAAATCACCTCTAATGGTGTTATGTGAGAATACAACAGGGACACATCGGCCAGTCTTTTTTTTTTTTTTTTTTGAACTTTTAAAACTGATCAAAACGAGTACATTAATATAAGCTTTTCTCTCTCCTTCATGGGTCACTCAAATCACTTTATAGCAAGTAAACCAACTGATTACTGCAATATTATGCTGTATCTCTGCTATCAAGTAAATATCCTTTGTTTGTTGGGTCTTATGGGAACAGTGAAACGGGGAAAACGCCCACACAAATGGAAATCAAAACTAAAATCAATTGTTAGTGCACCAAAGTTCCCAGAAGTTAGTTGGGAGCAACAAGAGGAGTTTGAAATGTGAAAGTGGATGTAATGATCCTGTTAAAGACTCACCAGGGAGACGCACACCTCCTGCTGGCATGTACTGTAGTAAACACATGGAGTCTTCACACATTATAACAGCAGTTAATTAGCATTTAAGTATAAAAACATGAAAACAAGTACAAAAAACTAAAACTACTTCCAAGATTACGTGTCTAAGTGCTAGAGTTGGTCAAAGTATAGAAAATCTGATACAAACTAGTATCCTGAATTATTCGTACTGCGCTGAATAACTAAATTTGATTGATTAACTGCCTATTTCAATTGTAAATGTGGAATTTTGATGCCTAAATTTGTGAACTGATAACTGGATAAAGGTTTATGTTTTATAGGCCTCTAACTGTACCTGAGGCTTACTGTGAGTCTTGTATTTCCTCCGTTTCCGGCAACTGCTAAAATTAGTAGCTCTCTGGCATTTTCATTTGACAGAACGTAGCTCACAGGAGGAAAAAGGTTGAAGACCGCTGCTTTAGAATGATCTTGAGTGCTGTATCAGAACAAGTATAAGAGCACGTAGATGAGTATACGCTCGTGGACCGTTGTGGAACCTACCTGGATGATGTTGAGCGATGACACCAGGGGTCTCCAACCTTTTTCCTCCAGTGAGCGACTTTCACAAAATGGAAATGCCAAAGAGCTCCTCATTTTAGCGACCGCAAGAAATTGAATAAATTTAAGAGCCACGGCCTTAGATGGGGCACAGTTTGATGTTTATATGTTTACAACGTGCATATTGTTAGTCATCAAAAGGACACGTTTACAATCATACTAGCCTTTTAATCTATCCAATTTTAGTTATTCAGCACAATACATGTTATTCAGAAATCCCTTGGCGAGCTACTTGGAAGGAGGTGGAGAGCTACTGGTAACTCCCGAGCTACAGGTTGGAGACCCCTGGATTACACAAATATATTACACAGATAAAACCAGATGGTAATACATAAGAAAGTACTACAATTTAATGTTGAAAATCACGTTCTATTGTCTAAAACAGGGGCCATCAAACTCCGGCCCTTCACTGGCCCCTCAGCACCTTTGCCCCCCACCACTTGAACTGGCCCTATGAGGCAACCCTCAAAAATTGTCATTGGCCTTTTTTTTTGTTTTTTTTTAATTACTTTTTAGCAAATAATAACATGTTGACATCTTGTACTTGTTGATTGTTTCAGTAAAAAAATATTTATATGAAGTATTTATATTTATATTTACTTATATGACGTATGTACATTTTGCCACCAAATTTGCATCACCTGACAAGCTCGAGATCAAACAGTGACAGTCAACAGCAGAGTTCTGTAGTGCAGTTAAGAACAGCAAAATGGCAAGTGTTAAAGATTGTATAGAGGATTTTTTTTGTTTCAAGTTGTCAATGATAGCATTATAGAGGTGCAGTAGCCTTGTAATTATGATGACCAAAAAAAAGAGAATAAAAATTCATCAACTCTGGACGTGGTGGGGCTAAACATTTGCCAATAGATAACGACACTGCCTCGTTATCTGTTAGCTGACAGGCTGTCAATCAATCTCCCTACGTTTCTAGCGTAACTGACTTGCCTGCGCGCCGCCGGTACGTGGTTTACGTACGCCTGTCACGCAGTCCACAGGCGCAAGACGCACAGACGCTGTTTACTCCACCAACGCAACAGTTCTTAGCGGCTTTTTTTGTCCTATATCTTCCTCGCAGTTCGCACAAAGTTTGTTGCAATGGCGACAAGAATCCAGGAGCAGTTCGCCGCAAAAGAAAGTCCGTTTTTGAGGTCGTTGAAAGAAGAAGACAAGGGGAAAAGCAGCGAAGCCAAACTAAGGTGATTCTTGTAGATTCATTCCAGCGATGGCGCAACTGAAGCAGACGCAGGGTCTAAAGACTGACGCACTGGTCGCCAAATTACTCCTGGACAGGTCACTTCTGCTTATTATGAAAACGTACTTTATTTCCAAGAGCCAGTCAAACGTTTTTCAGGACATGAATGCGATATCATATGTCTGAAAACATAATTTTCAAGGCAAAGAAAGAGTCCGCTTGCTGCTGCTTGCCGCTGCCCCTTTCCTGCTCCTGTCCCCGCTGCCCGTTCCGCTCTTCCCCCTGCTCCTCACTTCTCCGGGCACGGAATCTCCGCGCACCGCTCCCCTCTCCTCTCCTCTCTCCCCGCTCCGCTCTTCTCCCTGCTCCTCACTTCTCGTCCGCGAACGAAATGTCCGCACACCTCCTCCCCCCGCTCCTCACTTCTCCGCCTTGCCTAACCAACACTGTAGTTAGTTGTTTACAAGTCATGTGCAGCACCGGCTGTAAACAAACCTGTTTCTGGCGTAAGGAGGAGGAGGGAGGAGGCGTTTCTACGTAGGGAGCTGTAGGGGAGGGGGGCTGGTTTCACGCATGCGTAACATTTGAAAAAGGACAAACAGTCGCTGGATTTCTCGTTCCTTGGAAAATCCTCTATACAACCTTTAAGTACGAAAAGTTGACAGAGAATACCACGTTTTCAAAGAACAGTGAACGACCGATTATTTTTGTTGTTCAGTGTAAGGACCGTGCAATTTGTCTGATATGTAAAGAAAGTACGGCGGTTTTCAAAGAATATAATCTGTGTCGTCAGGTTCATATAATTCTTTTATATGGCCGACTCAACCCCGGCCTCACAGTCAGGAGCGATAATGTGGCCCCCAGAGAAAAAAAGTTTGGTGACCCCTGGTTTGAGTGTTTTTTTTATTATTATTTTGGTATTGAAATTGGTATTGAGTATTACATCTACTCCTTAGTATTGAAAATGAGTGTGAAATTTTTGTATTGTACTCCCATATTACGCTATTTTCTGATCTATGTTACAATATAAGTTATTTTCCTCATCAAAAACAGACCTGAAGTTGTATTTTGTTTCATTCACACGTTTAACACACAAATCCTGCATATTCCAGGACTGAAATCATCCGATCTCTGCTGAACTAAACTTAAAAGGTAGCTGCTAACTTAAAAACTACCACTTTGTGACATCTAAAGGTGGAACAGAGCGTTTTCAGCTTTGGAAATGCAGACAGACTTACAATAAAGGGTTACTCAGAGATGTGTGAATGAAACAAAACACAACTCCGGGTATGTTTTTGATGAGTTAACAACATTCTAACATGGCCTGAATCTTGCAAGAATAAATTTCACGTAGTTTAGGACGTTTAACTTTACTATACCAAATCGTACTCCATTTTTCATCGCTTTTGACAAACCACTGAACATCTTATCCTTGCATACATTTTCCATTCAATTTCACATCAAATATACAGTCTATCTTTGGAAATACGCTGTAGCCGACGAGTGCGTGGTTGTAAAATGTTCCAGGAAGAATCTTTGTGTATGACTACTGAAAACTAAGTCGTAAATCAATACCCATTTATTTGAGTAATGCCCACGGGATGTTTACACTACACTATATTATATTTCTTGCTGACTTAAAACCGGACATGTCCCAAAACGCCAAACCCTTACTCTGTTTTCTAATTTAGCGTTTGTCCTCTGTGTTTAGGTTACAACTGCATTCAGCTGATGGCCATTATGGAGCACGCCTACTACGCCAGCTTTGGATACCAGATCACCAGCTTCTTTGCAGCCTCCAGGTAAAAAAAGTTACACATTTATAGTGTTAAAGGTGCATTGTGTGTAACTTTTCAAATGGAAGGCCCTTCAAATAATTCTGTCTGGAATGTTTCACAGCATGGTTTTAAGCAGTTTAATTTACAACTTAACTTACAAAGAGGTGTACTTGTACTTCTGTCTGCCACCTGCTTGTTGCTCTGTCTTACAGTGTTTCATATTATGACATTAAACAGCTTTACCTTACATTTATTCAATTATAGATGGTTTTATAGCTCAAAAATACCAAGAAAAACAGGCATTCTGACTGTGAGCGGGGTTGCCTCTACACAGATCTGACCTGTAACTTGGTCTGGTTTGGTCTCCATGAAAATAGGTTTAATACCATACTGTGAAACATTCTAGACCAGGGACTAAACTGGGACTAAGGCTGCATTCAGACTGCAGCCTGAAGTGACCCAAATCTGATTTTTTGGCCCCTATGTGACCTGTATCTGATCTTTTAATGACGATTTTTTTCAAATGCGACTCAGGCCACTTGGATCTGTGGTCCTGAAACCGATACATATCCAATCTTTTGACATGCGACTTCAGTCTGAACGGCCAAAGCGCATTCATCCGACCTACACGTCATCAACAAGACACAAACGTCACTATTCTGCTCTGAAGTAGGCGAAAATTGTTAATGAACTCACTGAAGCGAAGCACATCACCACTCACCACTCATCTACGTCTCCGCATCCACACGTTCCTTTCAACGGACGTCGCTGCCACTGCCCCACAAAACATCACGGCCAAAAACCTCGTCCTTCTCCTTCTCAATCTCCTCCTTAAAACAAGTAAGTTGTTCATGTTCTGGCTCCTGTACGAGAGGAACTTTAAAATCTCCAGGTGCTCGATGCTCGCGTCCGTGTTTGGACGAATTCTGTAAACACAGAGCACGCTCGCTGAGGTTGACGTCATCGTGTCTCCAGTGCACATGCGGGACACTTTCGGGCCGTTTAATGTTCACACTGGAGATCACATACAAGTCACATTTAATTGGAAATGTGAACGACCTCGCAAAAACATCAGGATTTCACAAAAAAATCGGAATTGAGCGTTAAGCCCTGCAGTCTGAATGTAGCATTAGTCATGGGCCAAACTAAATATTTATTGAAAATCTTCAGCAACATCTGCATGTTTTCTCTTCTTTTGAGATATGTAATGTTAAACCTTTTCTTATTAAAATAAATGTTTAATAATAGTTTTCCTTAAACACTGAATTCAGAACAAGCATAATATAAAAAAAACCCCACAATTTTTAATAAATAATGTCTCTAGAGTTTATCTGTAACCGGCAGGCCAGCTCTAATACATATTTGATATGATCTCGTGGGCCAAATTTAGATTTTAGACAAAGTAATAACATCTCGAAATGAATTTGACAGACCCTCAATCAAAGAAGTTACACAATGCACCTTTAATGTGAATGTTTTTTGTGAATGTCATTTTTGTGAATCTGAATCATTTTCTTTCAAAATTATATGCAATTTTATACTAATTTATGCACAACCTACACAAAAATCTGCACAGAAGCAGCACGAGTGAGTGTTTTATGCACACCCACATGCACAGAAACACACACACACAAGCACACACACACACACACACACACATCACACACACATATACAGTTAGTTAATTATTATTATTATTATTGTAGTAGTTGTAGTGCACCACTGTATTTAGATCATGCATAATTTCACTGGGTAAACACACTCCCACTCTGTGTTTTAACCATTATAAACAAATCTGAGCCTTGGTCATTTCTCTGTGTGATTAGTTTGTGGATAAAATGAGTTTTCACATTGGCTTCTGTCATGTAAATACATCAAAAAAGAGCCACTCTTTTGAACGGCTTTTTGAAATAAACAAATCTGAAAAGACATCCCATGAAAGTAATAGTTTTTGTGCGAGATCCTATTAATTTCGAGCTCTTTTGCCAGTGCCTCGCTGCACCCTATTTTAATTGACTAATTGCAACTAATTATAAAATATAGACTTTATAGCATATAGATAAGGATAAATATAGAATAGACTATGGCGCCCCCTGTAGTCTCAATTTCTCCCCATAGTCTAAAAAAAACATGGACTTGACATTGGCACAAAATCTCACTTTGTTGCTCCATACATAACACAAAAAGGAACTACACTGTTTATTATATATTTTTTAATTTTTTTACTTATTTATATATTTTTTTGTGGGATGAGGGGATGGGAAAAATGGGTGGTTAAAAATAAAAAGTAAAGTGTATGTGTATGAACCTCCCTGACAGCTGACGATGTGAAATAAAAATATACTTAAAGAAGATAATAAGATAATAAGTGACATTCAGACTTCACAAATTGTACGAAAGGAAATTATGAAAATACAGAAAATATGTCTGCCACCATCGTCTGATCAAAATCTATGGGCATTTCTTTACTGAATGTCTTTAGTCGACTTCAGAATAAGTTTATAGTCTGGAATGTCCATGTATGTGTAAGTAATATTGTATACTGACTTATATATATGTCTTTATATTTTATTTAGCAGCATCTTTATATGTTATAGGGAGACTTTTAAAGGTTGTCATTTTATTTAAATGCTACTTAGACTTAGACAAACTTTATTGATCCACAAGGGTTTTGGGATTTGGACCCAGGTGCTCAAACAAATATAACAAATATAATAACAAAGAGCAAAAATATAAATGGTAATAATAAATTTGAAATAGTCGGGATGGGACGAGACAGTTTCCACAAGACGAGAGATGAAATTGGGTCCACGAAAACTAGACAAGACAAGATTTTAACATAATTTCTCAAGTACACATTTCACGATTCAGTTTCCAATTTTGGCCTCACAATTTTTTATTTATTTGATTTCATACTTTTGTTTCCATTCTACTTCTGCTTTCTGGAACTTTTGGAACAGTTTTTTTGTCCAATCCAAATATAAACACATGGAAAAAAAATCTCACGAGATAATTTTTCTCAAGTGTGCACGATCTTGTGGCAATTTTGTCTCACGAGATCTTGTACCGTTCCTATTAAATAAGCAATAAGAAGCAAAAATAGCAAGAGACCTTTGTCAAATAAGACATAATTATACAAATGTTTATGTACAAGTAAAAATAAAATACAGAATTATTGTACTTTTTACACATTTTCTTCATGTTTCTCTGAACTAAAGGCATCAGTCCATCTTTTTTCACTTTAGTTTTTTGTGTTTAAAAGTCGAGCTGATACAAATATTACTGTTTTTGACTGTCACATTTCAAAACCTTAAGTACAAACATAATCCGGCGTGTTGTGAATGGCTTTTTAGTGCACCAATTGATGGCCATCGCTGACTTGTTTTTCTCTACGCCACCAGTGTTTTTTGTTTTTTTTTGTCTTCATGGGAACCATTCCCCAGTGACAATATCAAAAGGAGCTTTCTTCTGGATTTACTGAACCAAAACTGCCCCATACTGATCAGCACTGACAGTCATACGATATTCATGAAACACCATTGAGTAAGCCAGGGGTGTTTGCCATATTTCACAAAACTGAAACTAGACTTTTATGAATTCATGCATCTTTCAGACCGATTACTCCGAACAGCTCCACGAAAAAAAACAAAAAAACAAACTCCGCACCAACTTCCGACTTGACTCGTCTCTCTCACCTCAGATGAAGGTGAAGGCGAGCGTCACCCACATTAATCTCTGCAAATGCACTGGGTGTTAATCCCGAGAACGAGGGCTCCATAACGCCGGACTCGTGGCTCTATTTATCTCCTCCTCAGATCCCCCCCTCTCCTTTGCCTGGAGACGAGCACAGACCCAAAGTGTAATGTATTGTAATTTCACCCATGATTGATCCCTCAGTGTCAGTTAAAACCAGAGCGATTGAATGGCGGGAAGCCGGTAATGCAGCCTCCGCCATGGCACAGGGAAAGCTGATCTACAAACAGATAGAGAGCCAGTCGGGATGGTATTGACAGTACAGTGCAGTTTCTCTTGTGTTTGTATACAACCCGCAGAATATTGATAACTAAGAAAGCCGCGCTGTACCATAATAACAGGTTTTATCGTGGGAACAGAATTGGAAATCAAGAATGGAACTGAGACATGTGACCTTTTAAGCTTATTTAATTCATCTCCATATGCATTTATTATTTACTATTAGGGATGGGCATGATTAGTTGATTAATTGATAATTGATCATTAAGAATTTCATCGATTACGTTCATTTTAATCGACAAACCGAATGTAGGTTGCTGTGCGTCGCGTGACCAAACAGGGGTCCGTACATGTAGCTCTTTGCAGCCTGCAACGTACTGAAATGCAACGATGACTTGTACAAGAAATTCCACGCTTTCCTTTGCGTTCGGGACAAGTGTGAGTCCATGTGCACAGTGTACAAAGCAGCACATATGTTTCGGTGTCCAGTGGGAAAAAGGTTTTGCCAGGTGAGAGTCGCGCAATGTCGATGACGAGTCCCCACCTCCCGTACGGTGTCCTGGTTTTGACAAACGCAAATATGGTCACACTAACCTGTATTCCACAGAATCATGTCTTTTAATCTGACAGAAATTGACCGCATCAGCGACACAAGAGCTGTAGTTTTATCTTCGCTGAGTTTATGCAAATTAGCCATGCAGTTTTAAGTTTCGTTTCTGTGAAAGTTGCGCAAAACTGAATTAAACACATTATAATCTGAAACGGATTAATGTGGCTCTAGAGTCGTAAAGTTGAATTTATTTATGCAGATTAGTAGTGCAGATAGTAATAATAATGATGATCATTTTAATATAAAAACGTTAATGATTAATCGATAATCGATCGTTAATTCTATTTACTATAATGCAAACTGATTACTGATACACACTTTATTGATTAGAAAACCTAAAACTTAACCCAAACCATCTTCACCATCTTCAAAAATGGCATTCCTATCCTTTAAACCAGTGTTTCCTAAACTTTTTTTCTAGGAACTCATATTTTAAAAGTCACAAACCTTCACGACCCAAGTCAATAGATATTATTCGTAAATCACAAAATAAAGATGGATTTGACCATTATTGAACACTGAGGATATTTTATTGTCGACTGAGTGATCGTGTCTCTCTGAACAATTAGTATTACTCAAGTTTTAAACAATGAAAAACAGTAACTGAACCAACAATCAAAGGTCTCCATAAGTCGCCTATTTGGACATTAAACGTGCTCATTTCTTTTTCTTTTCAACTTTCAACTGAACCAGCAATATTGGAACAAAATAATCACTCGCTCTCTCATGTGTCAGAACTGTATATTTAAGATCTACATGTAGATCGTGACAAGGTGACCCAAAACAAATCTCTTGTGACCCACCTGAGGGTCACGATCCATCTTTGGGAAACAATGATTTAAACAAAAAGACAATACTGATCCAGAAGTGTTAACTACAATTTAAGGTAAAAATTCTAATATGGATGGATGTACAGTAGGAACATGCTGGAGGTACTGTGTCTCTTGACTGGCCTGGGAACACCTTGGGGTCCCCCTGGAGGAGCTGGAGGAAGTGTCCAGGGTGAAGGAAGTCTGGGAGTCTCTGCTTAGACTGCTGCCCCCACAAACCGGCCCCAGATAAGCGGAAGAAAACGACACTTTCCAGGCCAACTGCAACAGGTTAATTTGTTTAGTTCACAATAAAGATGCACTATGGACGGTCCACCACCTGCTTGTCTCTATGGAGCTCTGGAATGTTCCATAATATAGCATTAAACTTTTGGTGATTTGACCAGGCCAATTTATAATAATACATTCGATGCATTGGATTTCTATAGCACTTTTTTGGAAACTCAAAGCCTTATTCATTCACTCCACAGTCGGTGGAGGTAAATTACTACTGTAGCCACATCTGCCCTGGGGGAAACTGACCAGGCTGCCAATCTGCGCCGTCAGCCCCTCTGAACACCACCAGCACTAACACACACACCACATTCATACTGTAATTTACAGGTCAGAACTGTGGAGAGTCGATCCTGCTCACAGTAAACATGCGTGCTTTTCCAAGTATTTTTAAGCAATAAAAACACCACAATAAATTTATCACGCTATTCAGTTACATTTTAGGAACCTTTTGGACAAAGTAATTACAACCGCATGGAGACAAGCAACTTCTGGACCTCAAAAGTGACACAGCACACCTTTTAAGTAAAACTTAAATGAAAAAATATTCATGTTACAAAAATGCACAAAGCAGTGATAAGCTACCGTATAAAGAAGAATGCAGTGATTGTCTTAGGCAAAACAATGGGACCTGATCAGAATATCTCATCAGGTTAACAATAACTCTGCGAACAATGGAACACAATGATGAAGAACAGCAGTAATTCAGTTCAATTCAAAATTTATTTTTATAGCACATTTAAAACAACTTCAGTTGACCAAAGTGCTTCACATACAAGTCAACAGCAACAGCATAGAAGAAACAGTTACATATACAAATATAGAGAAAACATGTTAAAACTACCAAGATAACCTGACTCGCTCGTACTAAATGCCAGGGAGAAGAGGTGAGTTTTCAGTCTTGTCTTAAACTGTGTTACAGACTGAGAGGATCTGACAGCAAGAGGAAGGCAATTCCATAGTCACAGAAAAAGCTCTGTCACCTCTTGTCTTGAGCCGAGTTTTGGGCTCGACCAACAGGAGCTGGTCGGCTGATCTCAGGGCTCTGGGGGGAGTATAGGGCCGCAGTAACTCCCTCAAGTAGACTGGACCCATGGAGTGCAGACATTTGAAAACAATTAACAACATTTTAAATTGCACCCGGTATAGGACAGGGAGCCAGTGCAGGTCACACAGAAGAGGTGTGATGTGTTCACATTTTTTAGTATTTGTCAGCAGACGAGCTGCAGCGTTCTGGACGTGTTGTATGCGTTGCAGGGAGCCCTGGTCTAACCCTACATATAAAGAATTACAATAGTCCAGGCGTGATGTCACGAAAGCATGGATCACTTTTTCGAACTCTGCCCGTGGGAGGTAGGGCTTTACTTTAGCGAGGAGCCTTAACTGAAAGAAGCTGTAATGAGCAGTAATGAAAGCATGATGGCACAAGGACGCACCGTGCAGGCTGACTGAGCGTGAGGTAACCAGAACTACTGTCAGATCGGTGGAGACAAAAAAATTAAGTTGATTCTGCTGAAAAGCGTACATCCAACGTACTCTTTAGGCTCTCTTTAGGTCCTGTATTTCACAAAATTAACTTTTGTGAGCTTTTGTACATGTTCATTTGGTATTTCCTCATCAAAAAACATACCTGGAGTTGTGTTTTGTTTCTTTCACATATGTTTGTGTAATCCTGCATTAATAGTCTAAACATCTCCCAAGCTCATATTGCTCAGTTTCACCTTATGATGTCATGAAGCAGTAGTTTTCAGGATAAGGGCCACCTTTTACCTTTTGTTGTTCAGTAGAGATTTGCAATTCCACAGCTGAAGTTATTAAAATGATTCTAGTGAAGGTGAATTAAAAGCACGGTGGAACACTTCCTGTATTACCACCTGACATCTCAAGGTGGAGTTTTTATTGTTTAAAAAAAAATACTAACTTGTGTGATAAACATGTATGAATGAAACTCCAAATAGCATAATTTTTAAAAACCTACATCACCCCTAGCCAGACTGGCAACACCTAGTGCCTCCGCTCAATTTCATTTCTCTCCAGCGACTAGGTCAGGAATCGAAATACACTAGACACTGGCCAATCAGTGAAGAGCTGTGAAGCCATGACATCAAACTCAAGCGAGTGTCTGGGTACATTTTGTGGTTCAGCACAACAGTAAACAAAGCGGTCGAGATGGATGTAGACGAAGACAGACATTCTGTGTTGCCAGCGATTCCCGAGATCGAGGATTTAAAGCCGGAACAAAGAAAATGTTTGGTAAATTTTAAGGGGAAAGACATTATTGCCCTTCTTCCTTTGGGATTTGGGAAAAGCTTAATATACCAGTTCGCCCCATTAGCGGCGCATTACATACGTCATGACCAAGTAGCAGTGATTGGTTAAATAAAAGAAAGTACATGCCTACCATCGAGCGAGCAAATCCTAATGCTGTGAGGTCAGACGGTTTCCACGAAGTGAAACCGGCTGATGAATCAAGCTACATCACCTCCGCTCCCACACGACAATTCTCCATAAATATACAAAAGCATGACACAAAACTGTCCACAACAACTTGACAAACCTGACGCGATGTGCAGCAGTTTCATTAGCGGGATTCATGCTGATTCTGTTGTGATAACGCTCTGAAGGGGGAGTGACAGCGTGGAGACGAAAATGAGGGGAAACTCAGAGCATCAAAAACCTAGGTGAAACTTATAAAACATGTAAATACCTTGTTTTCTGTGAATATGGCATTTTCAAAAGCCATAAAAGGTAATATGTGTTCACAGTTAATACCCCATAGATGTAAAATACCCCCTCTTTAATTTATTTTAAAGCTAATAAACGTAATGTCTCTCAGTACACTGCTGTCTTTTTGTATCCTCCACCCAAAGTCACAGTTTTATTGGTGGTATAAAAAGTGAGCTGTGCATCCCTGTGCTTGTGTGCAGCCGGTACGGGACCCCTGAGGAGCTGAAGGAGCTGATCGACGTGGCTCACTCCCTGGGCATCATGGTGCTGCTGGACGTGGTGCACAGTCACGCCTCGAAGAACACGGAGGACGGACTCAACAACTTCGACGGCACTGACTCCTGCTTCTTCCACTCCCCACCCCGAGGAGAGCACAGCCTGTGGGACAGCCGCCTCTTCAACTACTCCAGGTACAAACCACATGCCACTATTGACCGTGTACTTTAGAATATCTGAGGACTAAAGTAATGGTAGTATGCAGAGCTGGGTAAAGTAGCCAGTAATTTAAGTCAAGTGTATCTATATTTCAGTTGAATTATATAGTAGTGGTCCAAAGTATTATGACTACAAACACTTTCTTTTTCAAGCCACACTAGTCAACTATAACTTGGCTCACATTAGATTGGTAATGTCACTCTGAATTGAGTTCTACATGTTTATTAATATGGAACGGCTCTCAATGAGCAGTCGGGAAAAGGCGAGACTTAAGGACAAATATTTTAATCTGATTGGTCGATGCGTCACATCAGTGGAACGAGCTGAGAAATCTGACTTTTGTTACATCCAGTTAAGAGAAAATCACTTCTTTCTCATCCACAAAAGAACAAAGAGCTTCCCTTCTGCACTATTTTCACAAACTAAATATTCTATATTTCTTCTAAAGTAGGCGTTTTTGTTTGTTTTGGTTAGTTCTTCACTTTTGGCTTTCACCCAAACTACAAATCTGCCCTGTGACTGGTCTGAACCACTGCTGAACTGGGCCCAATGGCACCAGCGGGAGCCGGGTCAAATGGATTCTCATGAATTTGTGAACTCACAAGGTTGGGTTAGCAAAGGTTCACAGCATATCTCAGATGAGATTTGCTGCACTGGGTATAAAAGAGTTCTGAAAAATTACTGCTACTTCTAGTACAGAAACCACTACTCAAGTAGAAGTAACAGTCTGGATGTTGTATCAGATTTAGAATTTAAAGTTGGGCAGTTTTCGCATCCCAGTGAGAAAGTGCTTTAAAAAATGAAATCTTTTTGCTTAAAGTCTGATTTTCAACTCGGAGGAATTCTACAGTTTACCCCCTACAGTCACTCACATCAACTTCAATATCCAGCTCAGCTTGCTTCTTTCTGCATACATTTACTGCTTTAAAAGAAGTGAGGATATGATGCACAGCAAATTTCATCATCTGAGGCGCTAGGAAAGACGTCATTTAAAAAGCAAATCCTTCCAAATAAATTCCACACTTCATCTCCAATGTAAAAAGCCTGTTAGTGGGGTTAAGTTTGGCTTATGGTGCATAGTTTACTTACACTGTCCAAAGATCTGCATTTGTCAGGGCACAAATGGAATAAATATGTGTGGCGTGAACTGTATAGTATTAGTATAGTGATCGCTGACCACTGTCTCGGATGTAACCTCCCTGTGACCTTAACACGGTGTGTAGAATATTTAAAGTTGCCCTCTGTACCTTTTTAAGCCGTCTGTTTGTCTGTTATTGCTTTTCCTGGAGCTGCAGTCTGGCACTAAACTGTCTATCAGGTTTTCATTGGTTGAAAGTGCATCACAAAGAACATTTTTAGTATTCTCACAGTGAGCAGTGGCCACCTCTCCACAGATCTGTAATTTGATTAATTGGAGTCATCTACTTGTTTCTATGGAGATAGATGCAATTAATACCATACTTTGGAACATTCCATTCCAGCTAAAAAAAACACAGTGCACCTTTAGGACAATGCTCTCTAAAGCTAGTTTTCCTTCCCATATGATGCCATTTTCTGATCTATGTTATAATGTTGTTTTCTCATCAAAAACAGACCTGGAGTTGTGTTTTGTTTCATTCACACGTTTAACACACAAACCTGTATATTTAGGCTAAGTTCTTCTGTCAAACAGTAAACAATTTGTTCCACCTTATGTAGTAATACAGGAAGTGCTCCACTGTGTTTTTAAACTCAAAACACCTTCACTAGAATCATTTCAGCTTTGGAATTGTCAGTCTCTGCTGAACTAAAGCTAAAAAGGCTGTGGTCATGAAGCAGTAGTTTTCAAGGTGGAACAGAGCATTTTGAGCTTTGGAGTTGTACCATATTTTTCAGACTATAAGGCGCACTTAAAATCCTAAAATTTTCTCAAAGATTGACTGTGCGCATTGTAATTTGATGCGCCTTATGTATTAATTCTGGTTGTGCTTACTGACCTCGAACCGATTTTTTTTTTTTGTGGTACACAGCGCTCAAAAATCTGTCAAAATGATTTAGTACGACTTTAGTAAGCTACGAAGCCGCACCACTTGATGTATTGTCGGAGCATTACAGCTACCGTAGTCAGGAGCCTCGCGGAGTCGTGTCTTTTAGTCCGACAGAAGCTGACCGCATCAGCGCACAAGGAGCTTACAGTTTATGCAAATGGGCCATGTGGTTTTAAGTTTTGTTTCTGTAAAATGTAAACAAATGTGCGCAAAGCTGCATTAAACACATTATTACTCAATGTATATTTGAGTCGTCCTTGTAGGAAATAAAAAAACTTAAAATGATCCACCCTCATTCACATTCATAACACACATTCACCAAGACAGGGAGGCAACACCAGAAGAATGACGCCACGATCTGCCAGTGGCTCGTGGATCAGTCTCAAGCGTCGTCGGTTTGTTTTACTTAATGCGCCTTATAATCCACTGCACATTTATAGCCTGAAAAATATGGTGGACAGCCTCATAATAAAGGGTTACTCAAACATGTCTGAATGAACCAAAACAAAACACAACTCCAGGTATGCTTTTGATGAGATAACAACCTGGTTTAAACCGCACAAGAATCAATTTTGCATGTGATACCGCAGCTGAAGAATAGAAATCTATATCGGTGCATTGCATATTTATAACTTCCATTTTCAAACCCACTGGTATTTTAACTCTTTGCATTTGATTTAATACATTTAACTGGGAACGATGTAAATCTACTGCATATTACACCGCAACCCCAGACTCACTGTGGAGCCCTTATCAATTATACAACCTGAAATCCCGCTGCGTGTGATGTGACTTATGATGGCGTGTTTGATGGATGAGCGCCGGATAAGGAATTGTACTGGAAGCGGAATGTATTTGAATAATGTGAATAGAAAAGTCGATAAAAAAAAGCAACTTCGTTTTATTTTCTCCAACCCGGTGACACTGCGCGACGTCAGGCGGATCAGAACTCACAATCACAAGCCCGGCGTGTTCTATCCGGCTCCACAATGGTTTTCAGTTTACCGTTCATCTGATATTCCCAAAGCATGGCCCACACTGTTAATGGGAACTGAAGTCTCCACAAATGCTCCTGATTTTACCTTTACAGAAGCGGTGACACCTTGCGGAAATTTGAAGCTCTCTGGCAGACGCTGTGTTGTCAGCTGTGGGGGAAAAATACAATATTTAGCAGCGTTACCCACATGCTTGTTAAAATGTTGTTTCCTCACCGCAAACATACCTGGAGCTGTGTTTTGTTTCATTCACACATTTTAACGCACAAACCCTGCATATTTAGTTCTTCTCTCAAACGGAAAACACTTCTCCGCCTCATGATGCTCCACTCTGTTTTCAAACTTCTTACACTTTCACCAGAAACATTTGGATAATTTCAGTCCTGGAATTTCTTATCTCTACTGAATAAAAGGTCAAACGTAGTTGTTAACTTGAAAACTATCACTGCATGACATCACAAGGTGGAACAGAGCATTTTGAGCTTTGGCAATATAGACAGACTAATAATAAAGGATTAATCAAACAAGTGTGAATGAATCAAAACACAACTCCACGTGGGATTGGGCGGTAATACTGTATTACGGTGTCCCGCGGGATCAAAAAGTAGCAACGGCGTCAGTTTCATTACTGTCATTAAAAAAATCTCCAGCGCATAAAGACCTAATATCATATTATAATTTACTGATACTTAAATTTGTTTGCTCAGCACAAATGAATGTGTGGTTGTATTTTCAGTTTAATGCGATCACGATTTAAAACTAATAGTATCTATCATGTTTCTTTTAACTGTATGGGGAGACAACGTTTGATTAGTTTCATTCTGTTGTCACGTGACGCTCATAAGAGACCAAGACAAGACGGCAAGTTCGGCGACAAGTGAGTTGGTCCCAAAAAGAAATACTTCTACAGTTTGGCAACATTTTGACTTCAGGCGCACTTTTTTTTTTTTTACATTTTACAGAAACTAAACTTAAAACCACATGGCTCATTTGCTTAAACTATAAAGAGTTGATAAAAACAGCTCACTTCTTGTGCGCTGTTGTGGTTCAGCTTCTGTCGGACTAAACAAATTTATGTGTTCTTTCTGCAACAGAGGATGTGCGGCTGATGATGAGGTTATAAGTCTGTAGGTCATACACGTAGACCGTATAGTGGTGCAGCTTTTACCAAAGTCGTACGAAAACATTTTGGTAATACATTAATACCGTATACCCCGGTAAAATCCTGACAAGGTTTAACGGTTTCAAAGTTTGGATATCACCCAACCCTAACTCCAGGTATGTTTTTGAGAAGGTAACAACATTCTAACATGGCTTAAACTTCACAATTCTGCATAATATAGGCACTTTAATAAACCTGTCCTCATGTTCTGCAGTCTCCACCAAGAGACCTGTGTGATGTTGGGTAGATCAGAACTCAAAATCACAACCTTGGCGCATTCTATCTGGCTCCACAATAGTTTTCATTTTACAGTTCATCTGATATTCCCAAAGCATGGCCTGCACTTTTAATGGGAACAAAAGTCTGCACAAATGCTCCTGATTTTAGCTTTACAGCGGCGGTGACCCTTGCAGAATTTTAAAGCCTTTTGACAGCTGCGGGGGATAAAATACAATATTTAGCTCGTCGCAAACGTACCTGAAGCTGTATTTTGTTTCATTCACACATTTTAAATACATAAACCTTGCATATGTAGGCTGAGTTCTTCTCTCAAACTGAAAACATCCTGTAAGTACACCCTCCACCATGTGACCCACTGTACCTGTTAGGGATGGGCGTTCAATTACATTTTCTTAATCAATCGTCAGGAGAATTAACGAGTCATTTTTGATTAATCATTAACGTTTTTATATTAAAATTATCATCATTATTACTGTTACCCATCTGCATAAATACACTCAACTTTACAACATAAAAACCATAAACGCTATACAGCCACATCAGCCCGTTTG